TTCCATCTTTCAGGATATAGGAAAAAAACATTCCGTCATTTTCTCTGCTCTAGGACCTTACTGACAACCTACTAACGTTAGTGGAAATACTGAAGTGGGGTTTTTTGTGGTTTTTTAAAAGGCAGATAAGCATTGCAGCAGAACATTGCAACAATTCTGTCTGTCATTTGAGGATATTCTGATGGGTAGACTATCCATCTAAACTCTTCCTTGGTGTCTCCCCCAAAGCAGAGAAAGTATAATTCTGCTTCATGGAAGAGAACACATCTGAGGTGCTCCAAGGGCACAGACCCTATAAGCATTAATAAAGACACTGAGCTGCAGGATTGAAAGCCACCACAAAACTAGAAAAATGCCAACACTTATAGAAAGACAGCAATTCTTCTTTAAAAGCAGAAGTCTATGAACCAGCAATTGGAAGAAAGAGACCACAACTACTAATAACACACAGTAAAAGTTTATCAGAAAAATAACATCATTTTGTTTGGGAAAGAATGTAGCATCATCAAAGACAAAAAATAAGCAAAAAATAGAAGAAAACAAGATATTTAAATAGTTTAGTTAAGAAACTGTCTGACTTTAAAATCATCATTCATATTTAGGTTAGATAAAATGAAGTGTTTTCATGATCTACACTGATAAACAAGTTGGTCTGCTAAGACTTTTTTTTTTTTTTACCTTTGAAATTACTGAGGTTTTAAAATATTAGAAGTAAATATTGATGTCTTCTCTGTGAATGTCATCTATCTATACAGTGACTTCTTGGTGTGTAACATAACTCCTAATTCCTTGATAAGGATGATGGTATCATTTCACGAGACATTACTGCCCTAGTTTTCTTAGTTGCTGCATTAAATCTTCTTGGCAATTTTCTGAGAGATGGATATATCTGTTGAACTAGTTATAAAGGGCTTTTTCATACACCTACTGTCACCTTAAACAAAAAGGCCTGACAGATGATACTGATGTTGAAAACAAAGCTTGAAGTTTCATAATTGGCTAGAAGTTGATATTTGATTTTTCTCCCACAAGAGCACAAGAGCTCCTTATTAAAACATAATAAAAGGTAAGATTGAGTTCTTTGCTTGGTACAGTGCAATACAATGACAAATCAAATAGTTGTTCTAACAGATCACATTTAGGGAGGCCAATGGCCAAATCAAACAGTGAGGGTTGGTGACATGTATGGGAACCACATATTATCATGCCACTAGGGACATCAGATTCAGATTGTTGCACTCATTTCTACATCTGGGAAGAGCAAGTATGCCAACTAATTTATTGTAGCTATAACTTCCTTTATTGCACTGCTACAATACCTTTGTTTAGAGTATATAAGTAAGCAGAGACAAAGCTGTCCACTTCTCACAGGAAAAAGGTTAGTAAAAGTGAAAGGACAAATACAAATATTGTATATACAGTGTTGTATATACAATATTACAACCACTTCAGCTGCTTCAATTTAAAGTGTCTGGTGAGCATTTCACACCTTATCCATAAAAACCAGCCTTGTAACAGCACTGCAAACCACCATTAAATCAATGGAATGTGTACTAGCAGCTATCAAATCTACGATGTTCTGTAGTACCTTACAGGCAAGGAACATGAAGCACACAGCATACACAGCCCCATGGTAGGGGGATTGGACTACATGATTTTTAAAGAACCCTTTCAACCCAAATCATTCTATGATTCTGTGATTGTACTAAAAAAAAAAAAAAAAAGAAAACATTGGTTTGTAGAACAGGTTGCATGGTTTAGGTGCTGCCCTGCTGCTGCCCTGGACAGCTGTGCCTGCCAAGAGGTTAGGCAAGGCATTTAAACTTTTACAGCTATATATATGTATTTTCCCACCTTTCATCAAGCTTCCCTGTTTGGATAACAGGCTATAAGAGACAGGACTCTCTTGCATACCTTCTGAACAAATAGTAGCTCAAGGTAGACTCATTGTATTACTCAGATACTACTATTAAAAATGTATTCACTCGACCATAATACAGGGGAAGGAGATTAGAGAGAGAGACATCAAGACCTCTACTCTAGGAACAAAAAAGTGTATTTCAAACAAGAGCAACCTCATTATACCATCAAGTCTGCATATATAATATAGCTTAACTACATCAGTATGTGGTACAACTGTAGTGTAACTGTGTACATGCAAATAAAAGCATATATGAAATTGCAGAACAGATGACACCAGATTATCACTCAGGCTGCCATTATGAAGATGTCAATTACATCTGTTTCATTTCTTTTTCTCACATAAAATTCTATTCCTGCATAATAGTAGCTACTTTAGTGCCTATCTTCATGGTAGTGTAGTTACGAGGGGGGGGGGGGTTGTGTTCATTGATTAGCATATTTCACTGTTGAATTTCATCTTCCATTTTATTATGTAGTGTTTTCTGCCATAAGATCTTCTGAACCTTTTGTTTCAGCTGTTCAGACTGATTCTTTATCATCAGCATACTCTACCTCAATCCTCACACCACCTTTTCAAAATTGTTTCTGTAGATGCTGAATGCAGGTCTAAGCACAGATCCCTGTGTGATGCCAGCAGGATTTTTCTGTTCTAAAAAGCAAAGGCCACTATCTTTTAACTTCAGACTATTAATTAGTCTAGCCGAGGGCAACAAAGACCATTAAGGGACTGGATCATCTCTCTTACAAGGAAAGGCTGAGGGAATTGGGCCTGTTCAGCCTTGAGAAGAGACGACTGAAGGGAGAGTGTCAAGTCAGGCTCTTCTCATGGTGCCAGGCAACAGGCAGAAAGTGATGCACAGGAAGTTCCACCTGCATATGAGGAAGAACTTTACTGTGCACGGGAACAGATTGTTGAGGTTATGGAGTCTCCCTCATTAGAGATATTCAAGACCTGTCTGGATGCAATCCTGTGCCATGTGCTCTGAAATGACCCTGCTTGAGCAGGGAGGTTGCACCAGACGACCCACTGTTAGTCCCTTCCAACCTTACCCATTCTGTCATTCTGTGACTTCATATCTCAAAGAATCCTCATTTTCATCCTATAAGAAACTAGTCTCTAAAAAATATTTGTTGAAATCTTTCTCAAAAAGGTCTTTAAGGTAAAATACACACACATTGACTTGACTATCCTTATCCATATATTTATTGTCTTTGGAATAACTAAGAAGATTGATCATGCATGAATTTCTTCTTAAAAGGGGGGGTGTGCAACTCTTCTTCAATTGTAATTTCTCTTTATTATAATTTATATGAATTTCCTTCATATGTAAATCAGACATATTGGTCTGTTCTTGTAAAATTCAGTCATTAAGTCCTTTTAAAATATTTGGTTATATTGCCATCTTCCATTCCTCTGATTCTAGGATTGCACATCACACAGTTCATCAGTTCTGTGTTTTAGTTCCCTCAAAGCTCTTGGGCATCTGTCATATGATCCCATCCTTTGTTTCTTTTCCTTTTTTTTTCCCCCTAAAAATACTCCAAACATTTCACAGTCAAAAATTAGCCCACAGATACATCACCTGTTCCAGATACAATTTTACTGTGCCTAATTTGTAATAAAGAGTCCTTTAATATAGATCATGAAAGTTTTCCATATACTAAAGAAGAAAGAAAAATTACAAACAAATTTGGCTACACTTTCTCACATTTGCTGAGTTTGGGGAAAAAATAAAGCTTGAAAAGCTGAAAAAAGTCCGAGAAGTCTTAAAAGCAATCCATGTAGGCAGCATTTTCATCACTTCTGTCAGGTTCACCTGAAGAATGGCCCATTGGCCACAGTGTGCCATGTGCCTTAATTATCTGCCTACCAACTTTATTCTCAGATGACAAATGCTCCCCGTGGTTTGTTTCCAGGTAGGTTTTTTTCTTACACAGTAGAGTGGCGGGTGACATTTGATCGTAAAAGCAAAACATTCCAGTATCACACTAAAGTTTTAAAAAGCAGCATGGATTTGTCTTACAAATCTGCCTGAATGGATACCATAAGAATTAGGAAATGACGAGCCACCTTTCCATCTCATCATACAGGCAAGAAGATTTTACAGGTAAAGTAATCCCTGTTTTTTACATCTTAGTGGAGGAAGGTTTGTACAAAGGTTCATACACCTCTAAGAGTAAGAGCTCTTTTATATAAGAGTTTGCTCTGAGGTATTATTATCTTTACCAAACCTCTCTTCTTTTTTTCTTTTTAAACAAACTCAAAAATCTGGAACCAATTTATTTTATTTCACAGCTGTGAATGCTCTACTAAAGCATACATGAAATAAGCTATTTGTAGTAGTCCTTGTTGAGAAACTGGGGGTTTTTTTAAGGTTAAACAGTCAGGAAAAGGAGTATTTTTCTAAACATATTACTATAACTGAGAATACAGACTCTTCACCTCAAAAATAGCAACAATGATAATAAACAATAGTGCGTTTAGTAATAGAATATATTTCTAAATGTCAGTAATTGTATTTTTAAACAAAAAAGGCTAGCAATGTACTGTAAATGTGTACTGTGAGGAACATTAGCATGTAGCGGCCAGACAAATTCAACGAATTATTTCATTGTTGAATTATGAAATCATTGTGTTTGATATTATTATACACATAAAATCCAGATCTGATGCAGATTACATTCAAGAAGAATTCCAAGAAGCCAGAAGTCATCACTGACCCCCTGCCAAGCCGGGTTTATAGATAATTATTAAATAAATATAGATTATACCTAGTTTTAACAGTTTCTATAGTATTATTCTTTGCTCATTGTGATGAAAGCAAGGTTGAGGTAGAACAGAGAACATTGGTTTTTATTTTTCTCTAAACCACATAGATATGCAAGAACACAACCATTTACTGCTCTCAAACAGCTGAGCACAAAATGTCATTTACAGATTCTTCCTTCACGCCTGTTCCTACACTTGTTTTCTTAATGTTTGTTTCTGTAGATCAACTCCCAGTGTTCAAAATACTTGTCCTTTCATGGAAACTTTCACTTGGACACACAGAAATGTATGAACAATCCTCTCTTACCTTTAGCAGGTAAGTTTGGCAGTCACTGACATAATCATATTCCAGTCCATCAAAGGTATAATAATGCCGATCTCCATAAATAGTGCATACAGCAGGACAGGGGTAACTGGTGCAGTTGAATATGCCTCTCCGACAAACACTGTAGGGAAAACTAATAATCATTATCTTCTCATAACAGGATTATTTTCTGTATATTTTCAAAAAAGCTTTCTTGGGTTCTTTATTTCAAATCATGAAGAAATTCATGAACGGAAGACAATTCTTGAAACAGAGAGCTAATCTGTGGATTGCTTCTGAAGTTATTGGTGATGCCATGGCAGAAAAGTGTTGAACATTTTACCATCAGCCCATATGAACAGTAAAACTGCCTAAGAAATAAATTCAAATCTCAAACTTTTCATGACTTATGTTAATATTTCCATCACTGCCTCCAGTATAGATAAGACACCATGCCACAACATGCTTGTTCATAAAACATGGATATTATTTTTTCTCAAGGAATTTTGATAAAGGTCTGCACATATTCAAAGCAAAATACTTCCAGTTGCTATCTGTAAGATTTTAGGTTATCAGACAAGTATGGAATGAGTTTAAGAAATTAATGTTGATATTTTGCAGGAATACTATTCCTGTCAGCTAATTTCAATGGTTTACACAAATTTGTATGAATGTAGTATTGGCATCCTCTAGTTTTGCTTGTGTAAGTGTAAACGTTCATTTGATTTGCCAATGCAATTTTTAACTGATTGAAAGCTGCCAAGCCAATCTTTTTTTTTCATTATTAAATGTATACTTAACTGGATACAGATATTTTGGCTAGCAAATTATAATTAATGAAAAACTGGTTTGTGTCAGTGTGTATCAGGTAAAGCTCCTTAAAAAGATGCTGTGTGCTAGCTCATTTTTCAATTCTAATGGCCTTTTTTTTTTTTAAGTTGCTCATCTTCTTCCTATACAGTCACTCATGTTAACTGGTAACTTACACTGCAAAGAGTCCAGTTCCCAAATAACCAGACTATTTACTACTGTCATATATTTAATCTCTCTTTTTTTCTCTCCTTAGTTGTCGTTCATGATATTCTATTCTCCAGAAGCCAAATGTCTTTTCTTTCAGAGATTAACTAAAATGTGTGGAATTAAGCATTTGGGTTTGACTGCTTTTTAGCTTGGATATCTTCAGCTTACTTTACAGATCTGAAGAAGCACTCCCCCCAAAGTCTTCCTACTTACCCAAGTCTATTAGTGAACCTAATAAAAGATGTATCCTGTAACTGTCTATAAAAAAGCATATTTTTGATTTTAAAGTATTCAACAAATTTTCTGTATCAGTTTTACTTTGGGTCTAAGAGATCCAGATGATTTCAAAGTATGCAAAATGAATGTCACTCACCAGGTGTAACATGGTGTAGCTATCACTTCTCCTGACAGAAATTCCCTGTCTTTCCAGGTGCATGGACAACTATCAGGAATGTAACATTTCCCTCTATGCTCAGCCATCCTTTAAAATAAAAGAATTAGGAAGACAAAAGAGTAAATTCACAAGCAGATCAGCTTAACTGAATATGTACTGTATTGTCTAAACCCCACTGAGGGCAACCAGTCTTCCATCCAGCCAAGGACAATTGTTTCATCAGCAAAAGTTGTCCACATCAAATGATCTCCACTTTGCACAGCTGAAGGCCTCACTAGGTCCTTCTACCCTTCTATCTGGAAAGGGGTATGTTAGTGTGGGGCAGCAGCTCCCATGCAGGAGCGTAGATAATGTAGGTACTCCTCCCTGAAAACTGCAGAGCACCTGTGTATCATGCAAGCTGCTGAGGCTGCAGCAACTGTCCTGCTCTGAGTGCAGAACAGTGAGCTGGGCTATGGCAGCTGTTGCAGAGTTAGCAGAACTCTGCAATAGCCAAAGAAACACAGTTTACAAAGGGCTATGTTGGAGGTTATCTGCCTACACCAGGGAAGTTGAAACAACTAACAAGGTTGCAACAAAACAGAGGCATGTAATGCAAAAATTGTCAAATCTAATTAGATCATGAATAAGAAATCCAGAGATGTGGTCAACAACTTTTTGCTATCTCCTCATTTCCATCTGTTTAGCAACATTAACTTTTTAAAAAAAATTACTGACACTCCCAGTGCTGCTCTCTCTTTAGGGGAACAATTCCTGCAGTTGTCATTGCAGCACATGGCTGAAAGTACAGAGATGGTTTTCAAAGTACAATCTTGAGATTTTTTCACTTGAAGTGGAAGTTTAAAGGAATTCACAGCTTAAAGTTTTCTTCAACCCATCACTGGTTCAATAAAAAAGAATCAGCTCTAAGTAAATGAGTCAAGTGTCCAGAAAAATTACTAAGGATAGGAAAACACCAGAGCAGATAGCTTGAGAAGGTCAGAGTCTCTATCAATGGAAGTTAAATATCTGTCAAGAATAACATAGGTGTTGCTGATGCTGCCTAAGGGCAGGAGAATCATTTAGCCCCATGGGATCCCTTTCCATACTAGTCCTCTATACTTCTACAATTCAATTTAGCCTCTTATATCTCCAGCTCAGTGTAAGGGTGACTTTCAGTGTATCTCTGGGTGATGAATTTACAGTCATTCTCAGTTCATTTCCTCATGAAAATCTGTGCTGTTTTATTCAATTTTTAAAGCATACAAGAGACTGAGTTTCTAATGATTTGTCACCTCTTCAGCTACTGACTAAAAGAACAACAAGCTATCATGCAAGAATTTTAACAGTAGAAAATGTAAAACATTTTTCATTTAAGAAGACCATTTTTTGCGTACTAGAGTCCATCTTGTCATGGGTTTCCAAAGGAAAGGGTTTCAATACCATACACACAACCTCCTCTACTTTACAAGCACCGTAAGTACCCAGGATGCTAGAATAAGGTGCCAGTCTCCAGAAGAATTCAAGATTCCATCCCGAAATGTTAGGTCATTCGGTCAAACAATGCGTAGTGGTAGAAATAAGGTGGGAAAGGATAATAATAAAAAATTGACATTACAGTAAAATGTCTCATAACGAGGTTTTCGTGACTTGTCCACTTAGATTTAATATCAAGAGGTATATGCTTAACATTTTCTTGTATAAAAATAAAACTTCTGAACCTAATTTTTAAGATAATCTGGCTTGCCCCTTCCTAGCTAAAAGCCATACTCACTTCTTGGAACCATGAGCCTGAAAGTCATAATGGGTCCAGAAATACCATTTAACAGTGAGAATATTACTAACTGCACTAAATGTTATACATTTAATTTTCCACCTAATAGCAAAATAAGTGTTTATTCTCTTATGTAATAAAAATAATTCATGCCTTTTATTCTATTATTTGGCAGAAACTTGGGATTTGGTTTGTCAGTACCCCAGTTATAGTTTATAATTCAGAAAATAATCAAGTAATACTTGATTTTAAATGGTATGACTGAGAGTAGGGATTGAGATCTGGGGTTTTAACTTATATTTTAATTTCTTCAAATTTTTAAATGAACTTTCATGTCAATACTGCTAGTTCAAGTTCATGCAAATATGGTGATGTTTCAGTAAAAATTTACTAGTTTACTACTTGTACAGATTTATGCATTTTTTTGTGTTAAAAATAATTGTTCATTCTTATAACACTAATGGTCTTGAAAGCTAACTTTTCAGTTGAGGCAGAGGTTGTAGAGGACTACAGAATACCAGACAAGAACAATTAGTGAAATCTGTCCTTCACCAGTGCTTAGTCATCTAAGAACATCACAAGGTGCTGGAAGGGGAATTCTGGCAGTCTCATTACACTCTGATCTGCACACAACTGAGACCACTGGCTACACACATAGTGAAATAAAATGGAATGTTGAGAAAAAACAGGGAGTAAGCTGGATATCTAATGGGTTAGTGGAATCATGGTCTCTGCATGGAGAAACAGTGATACTTCAACTGAGGCAGGATTACAGCATGGAACCTTACACCAGCAAGAAGGAGAAAAGGGCTCTTGAAGACAAAAAAAGAGTTGGCCTTTTAACTGTTACTGTGTGTTTATGGAACAATAGTTTCGAAATTAGAGGTGCGATACCACTGGAATTTAAAAAGAAGAAAAAACCTAAGCAGAGTTGAACTGTGGAAAATATTTATTTGGCTTGTGCTCCAAGCTGCTCCATCAAAGCTTACCCAGGGGGGCAAATGCAGCCACTTGCACAGGGTGGAGAGGGGACACAGGAGAAGTTCATGGCAAGGTTTGCACAAGAGATCCCACAATTCACACCCGCTGCTGGTAATCCAGGCACAGGAGATCTGCAGTCATAGTAGATTTTTCCATCTGGGCATATGTGAACTTCAAATGCAAAATGCAGGTTAGATGAGATCAACTGCTCTTTTACAGTGAAGGTTTTCTATTTGGTATTGTTCAGAAACTATTCATTTTAATGTACAGTGAGCCTACATTACAGTACGCATAAGAATGCAATCTGAACAGAAGTTTATAACAAAATCTATATTACAGAGATATAAAATTAATGTTTGTTCTAATGAAAAAACAAAGGCCAAAACATAATATTAAGCATCTGGATCTATGCACCCTGGATCTGATACACAGTTCATTCTTAAAGATGGAATAATTATGCCTTAGGTAGAAAGAATCTTTAGAAGTGGCATAATTTTGAGTGTATTGAAATCCCTTTTAAATTTATTAGAAATGCATTAAAAATTTACTTTCTAGAAATCAAGATCTTAAGGCTTCCTAAATGCGAATAGTGAGCCTAATTATAGGTATTCCCATGAGAACACATTGACCTAGAAGTCACATACAATTATTTATTTTTTTAATTTCCCAAGTGACTTAGTAGTACAATTTGTGCTACAGAAAAAGGGAAAAAAAAAAAAAAGAAAAAAACCAAAACAGCTTGTGCTCTTTGCTGTCTATTTTAAATAAGTTGTGACGTTAAGTATCTCGTGATGAAAACACATATGAGGAGAAAACCAAATGACTATTCAATGTCAAAATCTTTCTCTGTGCAACTTTAATACGGGACAAGACTGTAAATGACCTGTATTTTCTGTACTGGCTTCAATACATGTCACTGTTCCGTTCAAACATTGACTGGAAAAGAAAAGGAAACCCATGTTTATTCAAGGGGAAAATGTTTTGTAGCCACCATGTTTAAAAAGATAGTACAACTCAGCCCAATTTAAACAATAGAAATCAAAAGGAGAACGAATTTTCCAGGTATCTTGTTAAAATAATCAGGTACATAATCCAATTTATATTAGGCTCCCTTTTACTAAGCGTGTAACAAAAATAAAATCTCAATACAATAAACCTTCATTCTACATGAAAAAATTTCTCAAGTCTCTTAAAGTAGCATCCAAACTGTAATACACGAAAGATAAAACTCTTGACACTCAAACCTACCAGGATCCTGTTGGTGTAGAAAGGATTTCTCCAGGCTGGAGGGCTTTGCCCTTGTAATGACAATGACAGGCAGATCTGTTAAAAGAATATTCATGCATTTAGCTACAAAAGCAAGATGAAATGGGATTTCAGGGCCATCCATTTATCAAGCTATTATGATAAGCAGGCCTTATAATTCATTAACTCAATCCTTATATGTATCCTCAATATTTCTTTGAAAGACAAAAATTTAATGATGACACTCAAACTGCGCTGAAGTCAGTGGCAAAACTATCGTCTTCCACAAAGTCAGGATTTTCTTCAATCTCTGTATTATTTATTTGCTGTCTCTGTGCATTAATGTAATTTTTCTTCCCAGTTATGGGATTAGAATGACAACACGTAGTTCCCATTCAAAGCATTGTCCAAATCACAGGATAGAGCAATTCTCATAGCAAAATCCATTAACTCTGTCTGTGATGAGAGTCAGATGGGTTAAAAGTAGCAACTGAATTACCTAGACACCATGTAAAAACATGCGATTAACAAGTTACCTTGCACTCTTTAACAGTTTGTGACAGTCTTTATCCCTATAGTATGAATTTTACTGAGCTTTCCAAAATATATGCTGCAATGAACAGAAATAACTCTGTATAATCTTGAAATTTATATAAATACCCATTCCAGTTTTTAATTCAGTATCTGAACTGAGTAACTACCCATGATGGTAAGCTGTAAAATTTTGGTACACAACGTACAAAAACTATTTCCTCTCATTGATCATTTCCTTCCATTTAACTGAAGGGGTTTGCATTGTGAGACATAAAAAAAGACACTCCTAGCCACTCTTTCCATCCTACCCTTTACTTTATGGATTGCTATTACATAGATTCCTTCTCATTTTTTTCTGAAGTATTAAAAACAAGGTTTTCATGTGAAAATGCTTTCCCATGAAGTAAAAAAGTTTCATCGTTCTTCTCTAAAGCAGTTTAATATATCTGCTCTGAAGTGCAGTAGATGTATGTACACACAGTATCAGATGAGGCCCTGCTATTGATTAGTAAAAAGAATATGAAATCTTCACATATTGTTTGCTATCTTCTTTAGGCAGTCTACATCTTGAGGGAAACAGGAGAGAAGTTGCTTTAAATCTCACTGGAAAGAGGAAAATGTGCCTATACATATATGCTATTTTCTTATGACTTACATTGATACACAAAAGTTGACCGACTCTTCAAAATATTTCCCATCAGGACAATTACATCCTTCTGCACAGTCATCACCACAGATATTTGCCATAGAAAGTGAAGCACAGGAGTGTTTACAAAAAGAAGAACACTGATGATAAAGCATACCACTGTGACACATTACAGCTGGAGGAGAGAGAGGGAGAGAGAAGGGATAACAGCATACTCTTAATATGTGAAAAATAGAAAACAAAGCAGTATCATGGGAGTGTAAAAAAAGCAAAGCAAAATGGTGTCTTGCTGAACTGGGTTTAGTTGAAAAGCAAGAGGAAAATATGCTGTTCTACTGATTTCTTAAGTTAGAAAAGTTTAGATTCAGGTGGTTTTGTGTTAAACAATTCTTTGACTGGAAACGTCTATTTTGTAAGCAGTGGGTGTCTTATATACGTTAAAAGGGCATCTATCTAGTAACTCAGGCTTCCAAGAGAAATAAAATGGTCCAGTTAAGGCTGAAGCATTACTGTATGGCTTAGAAACTGAAACACAGGAGTTGGACTTCGATAATCCTTGTGGATCCCTTCCAACTCAGGATATTCTATGATTCTGTGAAATGCCTTGTTTTAAATCATTACTGTATCCTGCTTGGCAATCAGTGCCCAACCTCGGGTGCCCCTCCCAGCCTAGCTTGCCTTCCCTTAGGGAACAGCCCCACTCCTGCCACTCCCTGACTACTTCAGCCTAACTGGGGCTTCCATATGACTTAGGGGTTTAAAGAAGAAGTTTCAATTCTCTCTATAACCAACAGAAAGAGAAGACATCCCCATGAGCCAGCTCAGGGGCTCCAACTCAGATGCCTAAAGTAAAGGCTATTATCATTCTCCCCGAGTACATCGTTATACCACGGTACAATCCTAGTTTCCAGGAAAAAAGATCAAGTACATTTTGTAGAACAAATGATATTTGTAGAATTTCAGATATTTCTAAAAGATATTCCATTATAGAACTGTTACTCACCACAGTAAGAAATATGAGATCTGAAGTCAATGATGACCCCGTGCTTGCCACAGACGTAAGCATAGTGAGCCAAAGCATTACACAAACAGCTGCTCCCACATTTGCACGCGTCGAAGCGGCACAGCTGGTAGTACAACCCTGGACTGATGTAGGCATGGCAGGGAGCAAAAATGTCTTGATTGATGATATCACAGTGAGATGCATACTCAGCTAAGACAAGATGACATTGTTTTAGCCAGATCCATTTTAATTTAACAGTTAGTCAAATGAATAGCACAGAATATTAAAACCAAATACAGTCAGCTGTGCAATAAAAACTTGCATACAATGCCTTTCTGTAAAATTCTATAGTTTAAAACTGATATTATAAGCAACTCCCTCAACAATAAACTCCACTTAAGATAAAAATAACTATACTTAAACAGTTATGCCTTCTTCTAATAGTACAGGAAATTTAAATGGCAAAATAATATATTTCAAAAGAGTAGTTAGAAGAGTCCTTCAAAGCTTGGAATATGTTTCTTTGTACTTGACATTCCATTTAGCTTTAAAATCAACAATGGTCATATACTTTTTAGTGTGTGGACTCAGGAAGTATTACAAACTAGAGCTTGAGGGCACGCAAACCCCAAGTTGGCCATATATTTTCTAGCACCAGCAAACCCTCCTCTGACCACTGAGGTGTACTACCATCACAAGTGTTGGAATATTTAAGGAACACCACTAGTGTGGATCATATTTAAGCCACTTTTGCTCTAAAAGAGTGTCCCTACCCTTCAGACTCTGTTCATTTCCACATACACACAGTGGTACAAGGATTTCACATTTTACAGAGTCTCTCAGAAAACTAGATCCAAGGCCTGAACTTGACTTGGTTGAAAATTAACCAGACAAAATAAGTAAACAAACAAACAAACAATCATTGATTTTTAGTTTCATCAGATCAAGATCATCATAGACCTGGAAAAGATGCTTGTGCTTGTAGCATAGGGTGGATTACTTTATTCTCCACTGCTTTTTCCCAGTGATTATTACAGAATTGTAGGGAAATTCAGGCTGGAAAGGACCCTCAGAAGGTCATGTTGTCCACCCTCCTGCTCTAAGCAGCTTACATTTATGTCAAACTCCACTTTCACTGAGGCAGCACATAACTGAAGGTGAGGCATGAAGGATCTTGGGAAGAGCTAACTTAGCTGAGACATACTGCTTTAGAAGACAGACAATGTGGAAGGCATAAAAAGTCTGAGAATGCTGCACATTGTTAGAGGTTTAAGGTTATTCTAGGCTTGCTCCCACAGGCTCTAAATATGGATAAATCACACATCTTTAGTAAGGTCTTATGTCTGAAACATTAAAAACATTAGACTACATTCTCTCAGAATTGGCCACTACAGCCTACCCATTGTCTTCATTAATTGAAAAGGACAGCAATGCAAAAAGGAGACAGTGAAAGTTCAACAGAAACCATAGGCATGTCAACCAGCCAAAACTAAATCTTTGCTCAGGCTCTCAGTTTATTGCTTCAGTTTTTCTCAGAGAACATAGATGGAGAATAAGGAAATTCTTAATGCAACAAGCATGGAGAAGCCAAAGACAGGACTTTTAACACTTTCTTCTGTACTTTCTTGTTGATCTACAAACATACATCTACAAATATCTTTCCTCTCGACTGGCATAATTTACATAATTCTGTCTAGCAGTCTGCATGTGTATTAGACAGCAGAATTTAGTAATCGCGGCCAGTAAACCCAGCACTAAATTATCAACTAGCTTGTATTTATCAAGTACTTGCTTCATTTTACATGCCATATGTATGGAAAGAATGGTCTTTGAAAAAAAAAAAGAGAGAAATAGTGCACACCTAAAACTGAAGTGAAATACATATATGTGCAACTTCTTCACAGAGAAAACAAAAAATGTCCCATAATAATAAGATACACCTAATCCCAGACTCCCATGTGAAAACACACCATTTTGCTGATTAACGTTACAGGGATCAACCACAGGAATATTGATAGGCACGGAGCAAGCTGAGGAAATTTTCCATGCATTGGCATGAAGTTGTGGGGTTCCTTCAATCATCCCTGCTGGAGACCTGGAAGGAAAAGATCAACACTGCAAGCATCCTGCTGACCTGAGGGACTACATGAGCAAGGATGCAAGTACATTAAAAAGGCTTAGATGCATAGTCACATTGAACAATCAGCATGCCAGAAGAATTTCCACCTGTGAGGTATAAAAGAAGAGAGGGCATGTGAAACTTCTTCCTCAATGTTTTAGTCATGTGAAAACAATCTTACACGAAAAGTCTGCCTTCACTTAGGTTTAATTTAAGTACTCTGAAATTAGTTGGAGGAGACATTAACAAGAGGAGATTTGGCCTTTATTAAAGTATGTAAATGGAGTGACCTGTTAGCCAATTTTGGTGTTCTATAGCGGGGCTGTTTGCATTTTGATGCTGGCTTGCACCAAGTGTTTCAGAAGCATTTATTATTGCTAGATAAGTTTTGTGACATTATAGCTTGAGGAACTTTGGAGGAAATAAGGTAAAAGAATAAGAAAAGTGTGCCCTTCTAATTAAAATATTCCTGTAGTTCAGAATTACATATCTTTTACACTGGAAATTGATGTGGAGGAAAAAAATCAAGCAGAAGTAAGTGTGAACTATGTGAGGATGATACAAGTAGTATCACCCACTCTTTTTCTCAGTGCTCATGTATTTGCTTCTGAAGACAAGGGAGCATCCAGGAAGGGAAATGTGCATTCAAGCAATATCATCATCCCTTACCTTCAATAAATAATACAGTAGTTTTCTATAATTACTTAGCAAAACATCTTAGAATGCCTGAATTTATGACTTTCAGATTTTAAAAAGTGACTACCATTTTAATTAAGAGATTTTTTATGGGTTAGTTTAATAATGTTTGAGTATGTCAATGAAATTAAATAATCTGATGATTATGTTCAACAAAACTTTTCACTTGTTATTAAACACAGTCTAAACGCACAACATGCAACTTACAGAAAATCATCTCTTAAATTCCCATTGTATGTTCCACATAGTCCTAATGTTCTTCTTTTCCATCTGACATCAACTTGAACATAGATCCTCTCTCCATCTTTAGCAAACAGTATCTTCAAACCAAAACTAGTTTTCAGTTGAACAAAGAAAGAGGATATATTCTGAATTTCAATAGCCCCTGAACATAGCAAAAGAAAAAGAAAACAAAGTCACTGAAATCTAACATCCAGATTGCACTGGTTTATCCATTAAAAAAAAAAGATTTTGAAAACTCAGAAATAAAATGAGAAACTATGTACAACCTCACCACCAGCCAAATATCCATAACCACTTTGTATCTGAGCTTATTTCCATTAACAACAGAAATCAGGAATTGCAATTACTGTCAACAGTAAAAAATGTCTCACCTTTCTGTACCTGTGAGTTATCTAGGAACCACATTTGCTTTTTATTTTTTTTTTAGAAGAAAACATTGCAAATGCAAGCCTCTGGCTCATTTCTTAGTCTCCAGGGATATTATAAAATTAATTAACAGGTATCTGTGAAGTGTAATCTTTAGATAGAAGGTTCTCTCTACCTCTATTGATATGACATCAGTATAGCTCCTTACTTGGACTGTATGAGCCCCTATCAAATTCTCAGCTTTCCTTCCCAGCAAATCCATTACGTGAGGAAATGGAAATTTCACAGTCACAGCATTCATTTGCTACCATTGTCAGGTTACTTGCAGCTGTAGGTTAAAAGTGGATCTACCTTCACAAGCAGCCTCTATGCATGCACACATACATTCTTAGGTGCATAAACTGAGAAAAGGAAGATAAAATACTTAAGTATGTTCTTAGTCAATGAGACTTACTGGATACACCCAATTATCAAGCATGTGACACCAAAAGATTTGTCATAGATTATATTTGTTGCAGACTATGGAGAGAGACAAAAAAGTGAGTAGGGACTGATTCAAAAGAAATAAAATGAAATTACCAAAGAAATTAGGAAGCAGAACTGTCAACATAACAGAAGGCATAGTAAGCTATTTAACTCATTGGCATAGGAAGCCTTGAATGCCAAAAGCAGAACTGTGATCTTAAAAATTCAATGAAGAAAGAACATAGCTGCAACCACCAGCACAGAACTCCCTAAACTCTGTTTTTCTGGAGTCTGGAAAAGGGCTTTAATCCCACTTTACTTATTCAGAAAGAGACTAAAAATCCAGTAACTGGTTCACTATAATTTACAAAATTTAACAATATTATTTTTACCTTCAGTACCTAATTGTATAACATGTTTTTAAGGCCAATTTATTTTACTATCCTTTTCAAAAAGGTGAAGTAACCTGTCCGAAATCACAATATAAGTCAGCACTGATATCCATGTAGATTCCATGGAGCACAGGGATTCTATTCCATGCTATTTATTTTGAAAACCTTTAAACAAGCTAGACCTTAACATCAGCATCGAGGTGATTTCCAACCTCTCTTCACCTTCTCTCTTTTTCTTACCTCCTTCCCCCTAAACACAAACAAAACAAGTGGAAATTCTAGGTACTATGCAAGATAAGAAATGCAAAGAAATAAAGGCATAATGAAGGACTGTTTCACAGATTTTCAAAGTACATTTCTATAATTATTACTAAAGTCCTGTGAAGTAATTGTACACTTCATAAGTTAGGTTTGAAGAAATTCCCTTTTCATAGACAGATATTATTTAAAAGTTTTGGAGAATACGAGAGACAGAATGTGAACCCTGGTAAAATTCTTCTCTATGCACTTCTTACCATTGAGGTTAAAAACTTGATTAGAGACAGTTTGGACTTGACCATATCTTGTGAGAGTTACTTGTTTCCTCACATCATCTTCAAGAACTAGTGTTATAGACTCAATGCAGGTGTGGTCAAAGTTCTAAGTAGAAACAAGTTTCACCATCAGAAACAGACAATGAAATTAACACTACCGTAGAAAACAAAACCAAACAAACAGGGGAAAAAAACATCTGTATAGACAGAAAATAACAGAACTGTCATTAGGCAAATCAGTTGTAAACTATCAAAGTATTAAACTGGCAGTCTAGTAGTAAGTGGACAGATGTCCCCAAGTACTATTACTGTGTTCAACATGCCATACTTGCATGGTCACCCAGGGTACAGCTCATTGGTGGGTTAAACAGTGTTCAAGCCAGAGTCCGATTCCATTTATATCAAGTTGGTGCAATCGGACCACAAATGCGGCAATGCAGGAAAAAGAAACTCTTGCACACATGAAGGTGCTTCCCATTTAGCAATGTAGTGATGATCCTTGATTATAGACCAGAAGGATATAAATTCTGCAGAATTATATTACAGTAATTGATAAATATCTATCTACATCATTTAGTATGCAATCCAAGCAAAATTTATGAACCTAAATACAGGACCAAAAGGTGACATATAATTAGGTTAAACTAACTGTCTTATGCTCCCCAGGGGCCCCTCTGTTTTCATCAAAAAACTTTTCAAGGTGCCTAGAGTTGTGCAAACAGTTGTTTCCAGTGGCACCCTTGTCTCTCAGTGGCTACCTAACTAACCATTCCATGCTTGAGGCCACCTGAAATGCAGAAACAGTAGTCTCAACACCTATGCAGAAGAAGGAGGTGCTTACAAAAAAGGCAGAGGCATCAGCTCATAGTCTAGCTTTTGAAGGGAAACAAGAGACAGCCCCAGGGCAGCTTCCATGTATTGCTACCTGTTGATGAGTTCAGACATACCTGCCCTCAGCACATGGCAGCTGTGAGTCACAGTTTCAGAGCCCCTTCTCCTGTGAGTCTAGGTGACTAACAGCATCATTAAATCCACTCTCACAAATAAGTACTTTTTATAAGCGCCTTTACTCCTAAAGCCTATTGTTGGATGCCTGTCAAAATACTTTCAAACAAATACATGTGGTGGCTTATCTCATTGATAGTTTTCTAAAAGGAATTGTTTCAACAAATTAAATATGTTATAATGTACCAAACAAAAATCTAAAGCTACCAAAAAAAAAAATCTCTTGCCTAACTAGTAGTGTATTAAACCTGCTCAGTGCTGCCAGCAGAAGCTTTTCCAAAGCCTAAGACTTTGTTGGTACCATAACTGAAGATGTTTATAGTTTTTTAATGTGCGTAAATTAATAACTCTTTAGACTTTAACCCTCTAAAGATGCAGTTGATTTTACAAAGGGAAATACAACTTGTAGCAATACAAACACTACTAAAATAAAAAAGCTGTTACATTGTTTCAGTTTATATTTGCTATTAAACATAACCAGCAGTTTACAGTAGAACTTACACAAAATTACCTGAAATATGGATGGATCCATTTGTTTCAACATTTCAAGAAAAATGTGGCTTACCTGTCCACAAGGTGCTTTCTGTAAAGTGATTGTGAATTTGCTTTTCCCACTGCCTTTTACCAAAATGTACTGGCAAATCCCAAGAAAGGTAAAATGACGACCATCAAATGTTGTGAAATGAGAGCTACCTGTGATGGAGCACTCAGCTTGAAAGAGAAAGAATAAACAAGAATGTTCACTTGCATAAGAATGTATCATTATTCTTTAAATTATGTAAGAGAGATAAAAAAGAAACTTTCTCCTTACTTCTAAGAATATAATCCAGGCTAACTTTAATCTGTCTAGCTATAACGGCATTTAAAAACAAGTATGCTAGAGACACCTATTTCCATCAGATACCATCTCATACTGCACACTCCAATGTGCAGCATCTTTTGGTTCTAACTAGGTGAGATGCCTTTGAGTTACAATTTCTCTAAAATACAAGAGATTTTTCCCTTTATTACAATTCAGAAATATCCTAGAATCTTCCTCTCAGCATCTTTTTCCACGACTGAGTGTGAAAGAGGACAAGCTTCGTTCTCCATCCTTCTAGGTACTATGGCACTGCTTGTTACCACAGGTAGGAAGAAGTTGCAGGTGTCTGTCATAAGGGGACATCTTTTTTTTTTTTCCAGCCCAAATCAGGAATGCACTGCTGAAGCAAGTCTCCAGCTCAACCCCCCTTACTGCACTCTTATTTATGCCACAGGGAAGCATCAAAGCACATGAACTAGATTTACTTTGGCTGCAGCTACTGCAGGAGGTGCTCTGTGGGAGCACATTTAACCTGCTCCTGCTACTAACATCAATTCAGTACCAGGCTAGAGCAGTCATAATTAACCCCCCACACATGCACACACAACACACACAAGGCATATGAAGCGGTTCTCAATGTCAACTGTTTTACACTACAGATCTATATTGCCAAGCCTTGTTTAGCAATTGTTAAGTCTTACTACCTCATACAGAGAAGGATCCTTAATTTGTAAAGAAAATATCTCTTTCACACAGTTCATAGTATAATAAGATGCAGAACTGTCAAGGGGGTTTCACTATGTGACTGCTGCATGTTCCTCTGTGTAACTCATTAGAGAGACATGCTATCTTTAAAGATAGGGATCATTATCCAAACATAAACTGCTGTTACAAGAGAGAAAATGCAGCACACTGAGCATCAGAATGATAGTTTTCTTATTACTTGCATTAACGTTGCACCTAGAAGTGAGGAGACCCTTATACCTGGCCTAGGTACTGCACATGCAGTAGAAATATACCACCTGTGACAAAGAACATTGAGCATAAACAGGAGATAGAAAACAAGAAGTGGATGTAGCACATTGAGGTAAGGCTGCAAGTGGGAAAACGTAGGATAAGTATGGTCAGGCTTCCCTCCAGTCGGCCCACTGCTACTCTCAATATCCATCTGCTTAATCTTCCTTCTTAAAGTAGCAGCCCAAACCTTGGATCACATTTGGTTCTGTTGTCTTCTGAAAAGTTTATCCTTTTTGTTGTGAGGAGAGAAAAGAATAATGAAATACAAATACCTGGGCAATCATGATCAGTGCAGTTCCAAACGCCACCAACACAAATACTAAAAAGAAAAATCACAAAACAGAATTTCAGTGTTCTGATCTTTAGCAAAAGAAGTAGTTTGAGTTAATACGCCTTGAATTCCCACTTTCCGTAGAATAGCCTGCTTATTTTAGTGATATACAGGGCTCAGACTGTAAAACAAGATACTATTATTTAAAATGTAAATGTGACTATGATGTTAAACTATGGACAGCAGTCACAGGGAGATGAAGCACAAAGGCTTTCACATACCAGTTGCTACATTCTTGTTCAATTTTTGAGCCTACAGGGAAAGCAGTTCCATGATAAGTACAAGGACAATTCGACAAAGAGATACATGTTCCATTTTCCATAATGAGACCTATTGGGAGAGAAGTGAATAAATGAGATAATAAACAAACTAACAAACTCCAGATCACTGCTCTTCCCCCACTGACATTTAAATCTGCCAGAAGGTGATCTCACCAGCCTTAGACAAGAAGCAGCAAAAACAGTCGCCCAGCCAGTGCAGAGAGCTCAGAGTGATGAGCTCAGAGTGAAGTTCTCTAAAAAGCAGTTGTCACTGTGAATCGTTGCTTTATGAAAAATGTCTGCTTTAAGCATGTAAAACTGTACAGACTCAAAAATGAAAAGATTCTAAAATCTCATTATCTTTAGTCCTTCTAAATAGGACTGTTCATAGTCTAGTCAATAATTTTTTTTGAGTACAGATCTCAGAAAGTTTGATGTCTTGTACAGAGCAAGACAAATTCTGTTCAAGTAAAATTTCTATAGATTTTGGAATAATTCAAATAAAGTGGACTAAATCTATGCAACATCTTATTGTAGGAAGCATTAGTAACGGCTCCAGATTGTAACTGGTATTGCAAGTTGACATACCTATGTATTCTAGAGAAATGTTTAGCATGCAATAAAAGGAAGAATTACAGTGACAATAATAACAGCTAGGGTAGAATTTACAATATTCATATTTTCAGGATTCAATTTTAAGCACGGTCTATTCGGACTTTATTATGATGTTGGGTACTAGCTTTACACGTATTTTTTCATGTAACATTGACAGTATTTACCATCTGGACAGTAACAGCCATCTAAACAGTGCAAGTTGCTGCCAAGACAATCTTTTTCAAATGTGCAGGTTGGTGGACAACAACTGATACAGTCACGGTGAACAAAGCTGTCTTCACACTTCTCAGCTAGAAAAAAAACCCCATGGTATATTGAACATTAGTGCAATTTTTTCTTTCCATGCTGGAAAATCCCCCTCTGTCAAAGAAACAGTTGTGCAGTGCTTCTGGTATAGGTAGTTAATCAGATAAAGTACAATGGATGTTTTGGAGGGGTTTTAACTGATGATCTATGGTGAACCTCTCAACAGTATTTAAGCCTTTCTTTACCAAATTCTTATACCACCCCTCCAAAATAAGTTATAATTTCTGTGACAGAGGAATATGTGCTCATATCTCAGCTAGTTCAAAGCCCTGTGCATGAGTTGCATAACTGAGCTGCAGTTGATGGGTGGTGGTGATAACTAGAAGGAGCTGGATTAACTAAGTTAATTCTGTTATAGCGCCAGTAGAGACTGAAAGGTCTTCTGGGACAAGGAGCAATAACAGATCTCCACAGATGTTTGTTCTTTGTCCTAGAATATTATCAGCACACATGACGTTTCTAGTAATCTGGACAAACAAGAATTTTGTATGGATCTAAATCATATCACAATGGAATTAAAATATTCTTCTAGCAAGTCATTGACTTCATTGTTTGCCAGCAATAGTGAAACTGGTGATCAGCTTCAGTATCAGATCTGAGTCCTGTAGTGACAAATGTTGGCAAGATGGAATTATTTTAAATTAATACATGTGATATCTCAAAAGTCATATAGAGTCTTACTACAAGCAGGAAAGTCATCCCTCCAGTCCCGCACCGGGGACCCAGCGTGAGAGCATGCTCTAGCGTACTCTGTCACTGCCCTGCAGTATGTTTCATCATCATCCACTCTGAAATGATAAAATAACAGAGTAATCATGGAACTCAAATCCCATCTACAAATTTCTGCCATGGGACATTGCACAGGATATTTCATACATAGCTGACACCACTTAGTCATAATGGCACACAGTGAAAATATAAAAAGGAACGAGCTGTACTGAATACACTGTTGTGTTTTTATCATTCGATCTCACAAAAAGTTGTTTCATTTTAATATTACCACAATGAGCAAAAACACTAATCTATTAAAGAAACAAAAAATAAAAATAAAAATGCTGTTTATGATGAAAGAGAAACAGGACCTCTTCTTGAAGACAATGGACAACTCAACAGTCTCAAGATCCCCAAGTCAGGCTCTGTCCCTCTTGCATGATGTAGAAACTCTGACCTACACTGACAAAAGACATTCTGATTCAAGAACTTCAAATTTCCAATTGCTTGTAAGATCGTTAACTTAGGTGAGAAGAACCCTGCTGGTGGACTCCTGACCTTGTGCTGAAGTGCTCAGAACCAGAAGCATTATCCACTGAATACTGTGGACAGGCTCAGGTATTTACAACACAACCTTGGGCAAAGTCAATATCTCTGCCTTAGTCTGTACAGAAGAAGCTTACAGTGCACTTTTACCAGGATCAGATAAAGAGACATTCATTAATGTTTAGATAAGTTCAGAATATATTCAAATGTAAGTCCAATACAGTGAAATATCACCAACCTTTTGTTACTGTGAAAGTCCAACAACTCACATCACTTACTGTGGGGGATTCGATGCCAATGTCATAACATGACATTTCTGTTATAAGCATGATTGAGACAGATCAACTGAGTTTGCCTTTCAGCATACAAGATCATGCTTCCAAAATTAATGGTCTTACAAATATGTTATATTGTGTTTGTATTCTGCTTTCAACACATCTGTTATCAAATCAAACAGCACTATACTCTTTGTTACAGTAATCAGTCTCTCCAGCTCTCCTTATCTAATCCAATTAAATGGGTCTTAGTAGAAAGAATACTTGGCATATACTATGGCCCCACAAAAAACTTCATAAACTGACTAAGCCACAAGAAGAGAGGCCTCTTTTACAAACAAAATAAGCCTAAATTAATGAGACACAGAAACTTCAAGGTTTTTAACATCCACACAGTTGACATCAACACACAGCAGCATTTTCACAAAAAATCCAATCCCTCTTAACATCACCATACTGATTCAATATCCTATTTGAAATTTGAAAATTTGCTTTTCATTATTCTTCAAGAGCCACAGTAAACTCCTGAGTTACAAAGAGACCATATAGAGGGAACTCAACTCTTCTCCAAATGAAATCAATGTACAGATCATAAACATTAGGAAGGACACTTTGGATATTTGCCAACAAACACAAAGTCTTCCATCTTAACTCTATGGTACCTCAGAATCCATCAAAAATGAACTAACAAGTTGTAATGGATTATACTGAGACATCTTTATGTTTCAACTTGAGATCCTTTCTGTGTGTTTTTGATTAAATTGATAATACTCTGAGAGGGTCATAATAGTATCTCGTAAAAATCATGCTATTTATGACAATTACTTCTTAATTTGAAAACCTTACTACAAAGGAAGTGGTACACTGCTCAGTTATCTATTCAATTACTGGACTACAAATTTAACTTGAATGACAAAACCTAATCAGAATTCTGGAGAGCTAAGGGAAAAATAACAGGTTGCATACAATGCCAGCAGCTGAGGGGGTGTGACTCCCACCAAAGCAAATGAGAGTTGAATTTCTTTTGACAACTCTGAATTTACATATGTAAAACCATTTTTTTAAAATTCTACTTGTTTGAACCATAGTGATTACTCATAAAAAAGAGTTCAACTGCATCAGGTCCAGCTCCTCCAGTATTATTGTTATTTCTCAGTAGCATCATCATGTATTTTTGGTTTGGGCCCTTCAGATACAGGTTTCAGGTTTTTTGTGATTAGCAGTTCATCTTTTGTCATTAGTTATTCTCCATGGATTTATCTTCCATTTATTTGTCTAGTATTTCCTTGAATACCTGTAAGCCCTTAGCAATCAAAATATCCCTTGGCGGGTTGGTTCTGTGCCCTTTGTTTCCACACTAAATCACCCCCTGAGAAAGCCCATCTCTTTCATTTTGAACTTAGTTCTTCTTAACTGACCTCAGCGTTGTTCCATTCTGGTCTCACACAAAAGCATGAGCATTCATTTCACATGTCAAAATTAAATACACAAGAACTCCAGCCTTACCTGCAAAGATCATTCATACAGCTTGCAATATAAGAATACGGATCTATACTTTCATGACAGCTGAGAAAAGGAAACTGTAGGAATATTTGGCATTTGAGGAATATGTCCTGTGCATTAAGAAGAATCAGTAAATGACAGTTAGCCAATATTTTCTGAACAGGCATCATTCTCTTTAGCCTTGTTTCCCTAATATAGGATCCCTTATATCCCCATTAAACTTCGAGAATCTTGCAGTCTCAATTTATTATTTTATCTCTTTTATTACTCTTCTTAAAATTTGCCCTCTCTGCCTAGGCATGCTGTTCCTGAACTATCTGGGATGAAAGAGTGCGAAATGAGAAAAAGAAGCACTTTGTGTCAGTGCAGGAGCTGATCATGCTATTTCTGCAGTATTTCACAATTCCCCAAATAATGAGGTGTAAGATGCCAGGACTGGAAACTGAACCCAAGTTTAATGTAGTAATGAAGAGCTCTGCCAGCAGACTGGTGCCACTTGGCACATCCTATCTGAGCCTTTGTACTTTTAAGCTAAATATATGAAGAACTCCCTACCAACAGCCCTGACCTGTGTCTTTCCTTTCTCAAAGCCTCAATGCATTTAAGACTTTTTTCAACCTGGTGTACATTGCTAGATTCTTGTACCATGAGTAGGCAGCAAATATTAAGAATATATATATGTGTGTATATATGTATAAAGCATGATTAATTTACCTCAGTGGATTCTCCATTAGCTGAGCAAGGACTGAAAAAATCTGAGGCAGTAGGTACACAAGCTACATCAGCTGAGGATTGCACAGCCCAACTATTTGCAAATTCAGCAATGTCTTCTGTATAATCACCTACTGCATGAAAACATTGGGAGAACAACAATGAAAAAGAAGTTGCCGACAAAAATACAAAAGATGTCTTTGAAATTTCTTATCATTTTTCAATGTATTCATAATCTCAATTACAAATGTTTTCAGAGTATGAATGGTGAAGAAAAATGTTATTTTTCTTTTTTTATTTCAGATTACATTTTATAATATATTTAAATAAAAACATTAAAAAACACATGACAAGGTGTTGGTTTGGGTTTCTGTAGGTGCCATTACTGATAATTTTATAACAAATATAGAAATTGTATATTTATTATAAAACAAATGTACAAGTATATTTGTATAACAAATAAAACTTGTATAACTTGTATAAGAAATATACAAGTGTAATGCATTGAATACTTAAGAAAAAATACATTTCTTTGAAACATTTAAGGCTTTCATCATGTTTCACAGAGGTCAGTTAGTGCTATAGCCCTACAACAAACATACCACAACACACCCAGCCCTCCTCACAGCATAAGCTTGGTAGAACTAATAAACATGACTAGAAGTCATGGCAACAGGTTAAGATACATGGACATACAAGAAGGTTGGCAGCAAAGAAATAGACCCAAATTTCCCATATATTTGCAGCAAGAGTTAAATATTGCATTTTCTCTACATTCTTTATTATGTTAAAAAGGGTATATTGCCTCTACCTTGAAGAACCTTATAATAATTAGTACCTATGCTATGGTTATCTATGTCTATGAATGGTTAGGAGATAGGATAATGAAATGAAATCAGCTAGAGGGTTTTTTTCACAGAGCTGTACTACTAGTTGTACTTCTAGCACAAGAAGTACAAAGTTGGACACTGCAGTGTGGAAAACCACAAAACATACTAATCGGATATGTATACTTAGATCTCCACAAATAAATAAAGATAAGATCCTAACCAGCTGTTTTACTTAAGAGTCAGAGAGCCTTAAAATATTTCTCCCTCTCTGTCAGAGTAGTTCTTTACGCAGAAAACCCTTCCCAAACATAAAAAGCTGGAGTTTGATCTAGAGGTAAATCTATTGACATGGCTCTGCTTCTACAAACATATTAAAATTATTTTATTTACATTTTAACATGGCTTGAAAAAAACTTCTAAGTCTTCAAGAAATACCACAAAATAAAATCATGGTCCTTGAAACAATTCTGTACACAGATACAGTCTTGCAATACAAAGATGGCATTAAAAATTAAGATAAGGAAACAGAAAAGGAGTTTGTTTTTAAACTGTGCTTTGAAATGGAGCATTATGTGCCTCTCAGCAATTTATTTATTTGAGCATTATATATAAAGAGCATTTGGACTCTGGAAGACTTAGGATAGATGTAAGAGATTCCTTTATACTACTGGGGGAAGTAGTTTAGCTGGAAGAGATAAATCATCACATCAAATGATTGATAAGATTTGGAAACTCTTAGAAAAATGTTGCAGCTTGGAAGTAATTTGAATTAGCAATGTATTGTTTTGAAGATCTCAGGACTTCATGCTTTGTATTTGCAGAGACAAGGCACCATGTGATTCAACTGGCTCAAGGTTAACATGATTCATGTGGCTCTCAATTGTACGCTACAATACTGCTATAATTTCTGATAAAGAAAAAAGCAAGAAGGAATGATGATGGCAGAGAGATGTAGCTCCGAAAATGAAGTAAGGTAAGAACTGCAAGTCTTTTACAAGAGATAATATATTTAAAGGTCCTGAAATTACTATTTTTTAGAGATCATGTGAATTCATTAATTCCACCAAATACCATTTTTCTCTATTATTAAACATCACCAGTTTAAACTGGTTATTAAACATACCATAGTCTGGTGTGCAGAAGTTATTGCACAAAACTTATTGCTCTCATTGCAGAAGTATGAGAAATTTATACTGGGCAGATTTTTAAAGATTATGCAAAGATATGTACACTGAGTCTTCCTTCACTAAGAAAGTTAAAAAGCTCCACTATCAACCATAAAAAATGGTGAAAAAAGTTAATGAGACAACATTTGAGACTTAAGAACAGGGAGAGCCTTGGGACTAGGTTCTCCTTGCAGTTAATGGTAAGAGTAAAATAGTCTTATCTTGTTTTTATAAGAGACTGAGAAAAATATTAGTCATATTCTCAAACTTGTTCTTTTTCTTTTTTCTCATATTAGTTGCAAGTAGGAAAAAAGTCCCTATGGAGTATTCCCTACATGGACTGCAGAATACGAGTTTAACTCATCTCTGCCTCAGACACAGCATTGGGCAGCTCCTCATTCTACAGCATAGTTGGAGGACCATAGGACACCATACCAACAAGGAGATACAAGGAACTCCCTGGCAACAGTTCAGAAATTTACAGATTTCAACTAGTATTTTTATGATGCTGATATAAGAGAATGACTTGAGATGGTGCTTTTCCCTTCATCTTTAAACACAGATAAAACCACAAACATTTGTTTATTTATTTATTATTTGAAGGCACTTTCATCAGTTAAGATAAACATAGCCCAAGTGCTTTGTTGAGCAAGAAAACACTTAAATGCACATATAGATCATTTTTTGAACTAGAACCTTTTCCATTTGAATTTTGAATGATAAGGAGAAGCAAAAGTAGAGCAGATACACTATTTTACAGAAATAACTGAAAGAGGACTCTGCCTTTTTACACCATTATATTTAAACAGCATTATATTTAAAGTTAACATAGAAGTTGTTCACACAAGTTAACGGTAAGCTATTTACTTACTATTTTGCAGTATCAGGTCATCATATTTATTGCCATTAAAATTTCCACAAAGGCCACAAGGTTTTCTCTTATGATCTTCTGTCAGCTTAATATAAATACCAGAGTTTCCATCCCAAGCAAGAGAAAAACCAAAGGTAGTCTTCACCAGAATATAGTCAGCCAGTCTCTCAAGAAAAGCATTTCCAACTGTCTGAGGCAACATTAACCTGGAAAAAAATTGTCTGCTTCAAAGATCTCAGATGAGATGAGGTTCTTGCTAGAAAAATACCACATAAAATATCACCACCTAACTCACTAAACCCTTTTTCCCTGGTGTATGCAGTCACTCCATTCAATTCATCATGTTTTTTATTATCTTTTCTTCTGTTTACTTCTCTATATCAGCCATCAAAAATGAATGCTTTTCTGTTGTATACACCTATTAGTTGTACCAATTATAAGCCTGAAAGAATAGTGAATCTTCACTTTCAAAACCCAGTTCAGCACACTGAGGAATACTTGACTTCACGAGTATGCTGCATTGGGCAAGGAGCTGTTTGATGTTATGACCTTCTGGGCACCAGGTCATCACTGGGTTAGACATATGCAAATGGAGAAACTTACAGTACAGAAAATACTATTGACAAAAAAGTTGTATCTCTTCCTCCCTTGATCAAAGATCACTGGACAATAATAAGCACAGATCTAATGCTAGTCTTCCAAAGTTGTTTGTGTTGGGTTGAACAGTATCACTGTAGCTATCAGTTTCAGTCACTAATATCCACAAAAACACCTTAACTCTCTGAATTCTCTGTAATTTATCAACTAGTAAAATAAACTTCTGATAGTCTTGAGCTCATCTTTTTACTTATTAAAAAAAAAAAAAAGAAAAAAAAAGGTAAATTTTGGGGGTTGATGTACCTCAGAGAAGTTTTGTGAAGTTTGGGTCTCAAAGGGGCTTAGAATCTTTGTTTTAACCAATTCAGACTCATCTGGAAGAAGATCATGTCTTGTACTAGCCATAGCTACCAAGAATGAACAATGACTGTCTTATTCAAAATGGTATCAGGATGCACCAAGGATTAGCTAGGGCTACCTGATACAGACTTTACCTGTACAAAGTAGTAATGAATAATTGTTAGGTTACACCTGAGAAGCTGAACACAGGGTTAATGCGTGGAGTGTGTTCTATTCTCTCTCAGGTATTACATCAGTACAGTTACATCTGCTCACACTAGAGCTCTGTCAGCCCCGACATAGAACAGCAAAGGATCAATACAGACATAGATCGAATTATTTTATCTGGATGGTGTAAAAAGCATCAATTTCTCTAACTCCACATCATCTTTTTGCAATAAAATACTAAACCCCACCATTAGAACACTTACCTGATTCCATTTTTTCTTACTTCATGGCCTGAAATAATTATTTCTTCCTGGTTTGAAAAAAACAAGCTGATGGACCTCTGACAAGTATATACAGAACCATAACAGTGGGGACTGTTATGAACCTTAGATGGGAAAAATATGCACACAATAAGAATAACTGTTTGTTCTCAATAATTTCACAGCATTTTTCATAAATTCACGTATGATGTTTTACATTTCTATGCTCCAGTTACTGAAAGAGCTTTAATATTCTAAATACCTAGAATATTAAAAAGTCACAATTACAAAGATATGCAAAACCAGGAGTTCATGCTAGCCAATACTACTGAGAAATACAGCAACCATTTATTAGCGCAAAGCATCATATGACAGTGATTAAAATACTGGATGAAATAGGTATTTTACGCTAATGAACTTCAGGGACACTGTAGTGAGCTAGCTTATAGCTGCCAAAGTAGGAGTTCCTTATTTGCAAACACCCCTCTTGCTCTGTTTCTAGAGGTCTGGTCTACAAGACAGGACTACAAACCAGTACAAAACTTCAGCATAATACCAGCACTCTCCCTGCCAGCTGAGACTCGTACCAACTGAACTACAACATGCCCTCCTGAATCACTCAGGATATTTTGAGATTTTGGAGTGCTCCCACAGATTACTGCAGGTATCTAATTTACATGGATCTGTTAAAATCCATTTTACACTGGCTTTCCAGCCCCGCTAATGGAGAAAGGTAGACTTTTCTGAAGTGTGCTTCTCCCCATTATACATATACAGCATAGTGAGCACGGGGATTGGTTCGAGTCATATATCAGCTTCTCTATCTTGAATACAGCACTCTCAGGACTTGAAAACAGTGTGGTTTTGCTCGAGCAAAACTTCTTCCATTAGCTTTCATTAATCTCTGTGGGGTTGAGCCTCCCGAACCTGTGGGATGTACTATAGTGCTTCAAAAGCCTGTGAGTTTATTTTAGACACCACCGAAGAGACAGGGGAATGTGTTTTGAATCTTAGATGCCTATCATTACCTAAATTAAAATGTAGACAGAGTTTAGATAACTCAAATATGACTTATGTTACTGTGTGTGTCACCATTCTTTGAGAAGGATGGGAATTGCATTACCAGTTTACTTGACAGTACTGTGAAGCTAAATAAATTCGTAATTGGGAACATTTTACCAATGTAGCAATGGAGGCTGTAAAAATACCTTTTGTAGAAAATATCTGTGCATCACATACAGCGCTAACACATACTTGAATTAATCTTCCTTAACTGACACTTAATCCTGGAAGTAAGAACCAATTACTGTTTCTTTGAGTGAAATAAACCAAACCTGGAAAAGCATTAAGTGTTTTTACAGGTATAAAAATAATCATAATTAAAGACAACATAAACGTTACTAGTACTGACAGATGGCTTCTCTGTAAACCCAGCCTAAGACAGAAACACAATCAAGGAAAATCAAAAAAATTTTTGTGGTTTTTTTCCCCTCTTGAGAGGTGGATTATTAAAGCCAAAAGGACCTCAATGTGAGGATTTGGCAAGGTTTTTGGGTCTCCATTTCCCCGTCTGTAGAGACTGCAGTCTCACATTACTTATGAATTTGCTGAGTAAACATTTTCAAATTTAGTAAAACATGACATTTGTTCCAGCAATTGAATGGAAGCTTCTCTCTTTCCAGAGCAACTGGAATTCACTGAAATATTGATTCTAGATTTTAATATAATATTGGACTTTACTACAGCAATTTTTGAAAACTCCTAACAGTTCACAGTTGCATATAGAATACAAAGAATTAAAATTATATTGTGGAAGGTAGGTGTAACAGTATCTCTCTATATCTCCAGTAAACAGAAATGGCAGTTTTAATGGTAGATTTATCTTCACTAAGTGTTGTTATCTGAGGGAAGAGGAGATCATCTGTTTATAAATGAAAAAAGTCCTCAGAGCAGAAGTCAGCATGTAGATCTGCACTCATCCCTGCAAGCACTGTACCACCAAAGCTCAGAATTAGGATCCCTCTTGTCCACTTTTCCCTGCCCAGTCAGCACTAAATTCCAACCGTTGTGTATGAACTAATATAATGAGCTTGTATGCTCTCCCCACAGTAACTAACAGCCTGACAAACAGGGCATCTTTCTTCAAACAGGGTATAGGTTTGAACTCTCCCTGATCCAAAGTCATTAACCACAGATACCCAGCAAATGGAAGAAATTACTAAAAAGAGTGCCTTCCATACATAGGTCAAGATGAAGGCTTTCGAGCTGTTAATCTTCTCGGCATGACTTAGAGGTAATCCAAAATTAGAATGCAAATCCCCAGAGGGGACAGGATGGGAGAGCAAATCCCATCGGCCAGGAAGGCAGATCCTCACAGCCTGTCAGAGGCTGTGAATTGGGGCCCAGTATGCTCAGGTGCCTGGCAAGTGATAGCTGTTTGCACTTTACTCAGCAAATCAGTTTTACTTATTATCTGATAGCTTCAGTTTATTAAAGTTTCCAAGGTTTGCTTCGTGATCCATGGTATCTCCAAGAAGGGAGAGATCAAAAATCTCATTAAGGACAGGAGGAGTAAGAAATACTATTTTTAATATCCTGACTCTGTTGATTATAATTTCACCAGTATTTTGAGTTACTGTACATATGTTTAAACATTTCCAGAAAATAATTTTATGTCTAAGTAAGCAATGAGCAGTTTGGTACATTTGCTGTCTCTCTACTTATTTTACTTACTCATTTACTTCTATATTAACTTACATACTTATTTCTAGTGTATGTTCACATACTTACCCAAACAGTGTACTGGGGTTCTGGAGTACTGCAATCTTTTGCAAAAATATAGGAGCAATTTCCTGGGAAGTAGTAGTAGATGCCATCAAATGTTTCAAAATGGTACTGTCCCCACGACTTGCAAATCCCATCTCGGTCCTTACCAGTGTTGGGTACTGGAGAGAGCACAGTGAGTTTACAACAAGCGCTGTCATAAAAAATTGACAGGTGTCACAGGCATCTATGAAAGTAGGAGCTCGGAAAGAAAACAAGAGCTTAAAAGGAAATACATAGCAAGTACAAAAGATAAACTTATTTCTTCAACTTTAAATGAAGTCAGTACTTTTTCTTAATATTTAGTCTGTAGTTTTAACCATGTGCAACCATCATTAAGTTTTTTATTTGCTTCAGCGGAGACGTTTTAATTACAAATAGAGGCCAGGGATTTCGATATCCTCCCAGTCCTGGACGACAATTCTTGCTGATCCCTACAAACAGCAAATTACAGAAACTAGTGCACTGAAATAGTTGGTAATTTTATTTGCAGTAACTCACTGTTAGAAAAAAGGCAGTGGCTTTTTGGTTGTTCAGCTAACTATAAAAAATCTGTTTGGCTATGGATGCACTAGACAGTGATCTGTCTATTATGGTATCTGTGCATTGTTACAGCCCAAGTGCTAAAATATAGGTATTCCTGCTCTCCATACATCCCTAACACTCCTAGCTACTTGTCGAATGACAGTCTTACCACAAAGGAATCACAAATATGCTGCTAACAGTATTGTTTTCAAAACCTGCATCTCCCTTGAAGCTGAAACTAAACCCTTTGGCCCAAAACTTACCAATTTGGCACCTGTTTCCTTGAGCCTGAAATAACTGACAGTCACAATCACCCGCCTCTGTGCAGGTTGCTCCATTAAGGCACTCCTGAGGACATGAACCTGTAAGCAGGCATAGCAGCCTTTTAGCAGATACAGTATTTTGCAAACAGGCTGCAAGATCCCCATTAAATCTGTTTATTGTTAAATCACAAGCAGCTATATTAGCTGAGAAAATTAACAAACAACAATCTCCATTTTTTAACATTTACTTAATTTTATCCTTTGGGTTCCTTGGTTAAAAGAGAAACAAGGTTCTCTCTCTTTTGGTTTGAGACTTGTAAACTAACAAAGGAGCAAAAGGTCAGCCTCCTCCCAGCAAACAAAAGGTCAAGTTCCCATGTAAAGAAATCAAATCCCAGTCCTGCTGATCTCAAAATATGCAGGACACAGATTATTCTAATTGACTAAATTCAGCATAATTTATACATATGTTCAGCTCCTCCCTCCTAAGCATTACAGCAAAGAGTACATTCAGTTTATGATTAGTCCAGAATATATAATTTACAGAGTCAAAACCAGTCATAAGCAATCTTTTCCACATGCTAAAAAAAGTCAGTTAAAAGGTTTTTTCTGCTTAAGAGGTGACTGGAGTCAGAGACTTTAGATTCCATGGGAATGGCTTGTTTTATAATTAGTAATTGTTTCCAAAAGCAGTTACATTAAAGAGTTTTATAGTGTGTTTGAAAGCTAAGACCTCCCTGTCATTTACTAATCAATCATTGAGGGGGGTCTAAATCATAATTCCCCAAAAGTGGAGAAGAAAAGTAGTCCCAAAGTAAAACTTCATCAGGTTTTGCAGATAGCTGTTTTCCTTCTTGGAGTAGGATTAAAACCCTACATACAAAAGCTTTCAGTGTTGCTGATGGAGATTAAAAAAGCATCGCAAAAAGCAGGAAGTAAAGCTGCTAGTGATCTTGAATGGGAACAAAATGGGACCTTTACATTAAAGGTACACAGAAGCTACCAATTATTATGAACATCATCCTTCATTGTGAAAATTCCTTTGCATGCTTAGTTTTGAATTTTTTCCATTAAAGAATTGCTTTCCAAATATACACAGATACTCTGAAAATACTGACAAAGTAGAAAATATTGCTTCTAGAACAGCACCAACGTGGAAAACTTCTTTGTTGTTGTTAGAATTGTGAGTTGCAAAATTGCATATATCCTTTTACATAGAAAAATGCAACAGAAAGGATCTGCCCAGGCATTTTCCAAGAAGGATACCAAAATTCCAACCCAAGTTGAATACAATGAACTGTACTCTAAAATAACTTCTGTAACCTGGGCCTCCTTTGCATGGCTGTACAATGCTTAAGACTCTCCAGGAGCAGATGCGTGTTCATTGCCTGAGCACCCCTGTTCCTTTGCACAACCAGTTACTTGTCTCTCTGACATACCTACATCCTCTGCCAAGGCCAGAAAAAAAGTGGCAGAAAAGAAAAATTGCAACAGACCTAAATTTAAAAAAAAAACAAACCAACAATATCAAAGTATTGGCTTAGTTGGCTGTTCAGATTTGGTTGTAAGGCCTTATTTTGAAAGTACAATTTTAATAGGAATTTTTCTTAATTTAACATGGATAACATGAGAAAATGAGACAGGGCAGGGCTTTGTAGGGGACATAAGGAAGAAGGGTTCCACAGACCATGGTAACACAGGGAAACTGGTAGGAAGGCAGTATTTTCAGGACTCTCTCCTCCCACAGGTGAGGAGCACAGCACTCACCTCCTGGTGGACTCTGCATCTGGGTCCCATGAAGATGCAACAAAGACGCAGCTTGAACCTGTCAGAGAAACATAAAAGCAAAATCAGGGTGTTTGTGGTTTACAAATGAGCTGATAAGAGCCTGAGGCCTTGCACCTAAACATTGGGTTGGGACTTTTAACACAAAACAGCAATTTGCATCTCAGCCAGCAAGGTAGACTCGTGGCTGCTGCAGGAGGGATTGGCAGGCTGCAGAGAAGCACAGGTTTTGAGGGGATGGGAATGGACACAGCTGTGCTGTGAGATCACTGCTTGCTTTCCCTCATGCCCTCCAGTTCCAGTGAACCATTGGGGCTCCACCTGGGAAGTTTTGCATTTACATTTAGACGGAAAAGTGAGGAGACAGAGAACAATCTGCCGTTTTCACTTCAGTCAAATACCCGTAGCTGGTGAGCTTGAAGATGTGACATCCCTTATTTCATCCTCTCCCTTGACTCATGCTCTGTGCTGCACCCTGATCATCCCACTGTGGCCACTCTAGCTGCAATGGATTTCATGTCCTCCCTGAGGACCTTCGGAATTGCATTTTGGTTCATCCCAAACAAAAGAGAAAGTGGATCTGCCTGAGCTGCTTCCTGTTTAGGAACAAGGGAGTATCAGACTATGAGGAAGCCCTGAATCTGACCAAGCACCCTGCTACTGCAGCTTGTCACGTCACATTGTTCCTTCCAAGAACTGATCCTATTCCAGGTTGAAAGTAATCTGGGGCTTTTGCCCCCAACTAGTGTGACTGAAAAGTTTAGGACGGTGAAGTGATGAGTAGCTACATATTTCCCATTTACATTTATTCATGGCCAGTTTAAATCCCTTCTTTTATAAATCTGGGATCTTTTGCTTAAATAGCTACTCTTTCCTCTGTTTTTTACTTATTTCCTATTTGATAATCTGTGAGAAAAACAGTGACCCTTCTGCGCTCCCCACAGACATAAGCACCAGCCTTCGGCTGCACAACTAAGTACAAAAACTGTTTTAATCTTTGCTTATAAGCTAATTTCTTTCTTCCCTCTTGACACCAGCCATTCTCCACTTCTGGAATTTGAACTGATGGATCTGAAAGTCAACGGTGCCATGCAAGGGACATGTTAGGTTAAGTCTTACTAATGCCTCTTACAGTGACATAAAGACTTCCTTTTTCCAAATGGAAATGCTTAGTGGGATGCATCCAAGTAGCATGATCTGTCTAAAATCAACTTGAAATAGATTTCATCAAATCATCACCTGGAAGGCCCCCCTACCAAAACTATTCCTGGTTCCCATGGCCCGTTGCTAGCTGGAAGGTGTCCCTTCCCTCCCTGCACAAGACCCATTTTCATTTTCCATGATAGCTACTCTAAACTGCCTGCCTCAGGAAAGTGGCTTTTGGCCTTTGTGTTATTTTGGGGCAGTAAAGCGTCCTTGGTGCAACAGCACTTCCATGCTGAGGCCCCCTCCAAAGATACCACGAGTCTGCTTGTCTCAGAGGCTCGGTTGATTTTAGCACAGCATTTCACGCCCACTGCCTTCTGACTCAGTCAGGGGCACATAGATCTCAAAGGGACTTGGAGTAAATTAGCCCTGGTTCAGCAGCAGGCTCCTCGCAAAGACCCTGAGGAGAGACAGTCTCCAGCTTCCTGCCTATCCCATCGAACGGGGTTATAACCCTTGGCTGGGGTCCATTACCCAAGTGTGTACCAGTGGGGGAATGAGATTTCTCTGTTTACTATTAAATTTCAGAGCAGCATTGCTGAGCTGCAACACTGAGGCAGCAGGGGGCCAGGGCAATAGGAACCAGGGCTGCGCTGGAGCCACCATTGACCATGTGCGTGAGGGAGCCTTGCCAGTGGTGCCGCCATTGTGCCTCTCACCAAACACAAACAGCTTTCCAGGACATTCTGTTCACCCTCACAAAAGACAGAGAGAGACACGGTGGGTTTATTTCCCATGGTGTGCGTCAGTCAGCTCATCAGGGAAGGCTGCCGACCAGGTGCTCTGCTGAGAGTGAATGAAGGCATGAGGCCCTGGGTCAGTCGGGGCTGGGCAGATGGGGACTAGCTGCTCCTGTCCTCACTGTCCTCCTGTTACCGCAGCCCTTCTGCCCACAAAGACTCATTTGTAAGGATGGCAAAGGTCCAGAGCAGAAAAGGGAGGAGGGTTTTCCCTCCCTCCCACTTTTGGAGGTATAACCTACCTCGGCTGTTACAAGATCTCTTTTCTGTCGAGTTGCATTAAACTCATTTCTGGAAGAAAACAAAAAGGATCTTGTATTATCAAAGGTCCCTGGAGCAACCTGAATAAGCAACTCCCTTGAGAGAAGTGTTTCTCTCTGATTACCATAACTTTATCAAAGAGGTCTTTCTTGGGTTAACATTTAAAAAGGTGATTATTTTTTTCTTTTTTTTTTTTTGTCATTGTCTCATTTTACTGAATTGGGCAGCACTCTGATCTCTGCTTGGACAGGGAGGTACCTGGAGCCTGTGGGGAAACGTAAATAGGCAAAGGAGGCTTACACAACAGGATACAAAACTGTAAAGCCACTTCATATTTAGTTGATGCTATGTGTGAGTGGCTGTAAGTTCCCCTGAGTGTTGCTTGATGGTACTTGTATTGTAATAGCAAGAGATGACTCTCCAGCTGGAGCCAACTTAAATTTGTGATTAAGTTTCAAAACAAGGGCATCAAACTATAAAACACGCTTAGTTCTATCAATACTCCAAGATGTGCATGTGTGTTCACTAGATGTATTAGAGGCCATTAGACATTTGAAGCTACGTCCAACTGGATGCTTCCATTGAAATGGATGGCATAGTTCCCATTTAATTCAATGGGATCAGGAACATTCCCTAGTTTGGGTTTTGTTTGGATTTCAGCTTCTACATGAAGATTTGTATCGAAAATGTTTATTTTAAGGTTATACAGCATTTAATTCTCTGTGCTTCAAATAGCAGCTACGATTTTATCACGCAATTAAGACTGTAGAAGGATACTCATTTAATGTATTTTTCCAGTCATGAAATCATGATCTCATGCTGGTTTCATTCCATTATTCCTCTAAGCATTCTCAAGACCATAGAAGTATCATTTTTCATAAGGAACTCCATTTTTCAAATGAAGGACCCGTGCCCATTATGTAAATACTTTGAAAAGAGTTGTAAACATTCTGAAAGTGTGTTCTACATCCAACCTACATGTAGATGACATTTTACATCTTGAATTCAAGGCTATATTTTACTTTCTAACTTGCACTGTGTCACACTTACTCATTCTTGTTCTATTAGTAGGACTTAACAAATAAGGAACAAAACCTTACCTCAAAGTTCTTCTCAAAGGAGAAAGCTTGCAATAAGATCCTGCAGATTAAAAAGTCATCAAGTTAAACATTTTTTTCCTACAGCATTACTCTGTCCTTGGCAAGCAATGTGAAGTTTAAAACAACACTACTGAATTTTGGTTTTCAATGATCCTGAGTTTTACAGAGCATCTTTGCACAAATTTTTTCTGTTTTGAAGGAATGTAGCATTACATGCTTTCCTTCCTGAGGACTTGATTCTCTCAAGCATTATTCATCTGCAAGTTTTCATGGTCTCAGTTCTGGTACATGCTCTCATGAAAGAGGGAAAAGAGTTTGTAGCTCTTCAAAGGCTCAGAACAAAACAGATAAAATACAAGAGGTGCTCAGAGCTTTTCAGAATCAAACTTCTAGGGTTATAATAATTTTCTGAGTGTTACTTGTAAGATTCAATTGTAAATAATTTTAAATTAGTCCATGCTTAAAACAAGGAAACAACAAAACAATTTCTCTTATTGCCTTAGAAATCTTTATAATTGCTGCATGAAAACTATCTGCAAGATCCAGTTGCACTACATAGAAAATAACATCATTTCTGTAACTAGAAGAGCAATTATTTACCCTATCAGTCTAAAAATTTTAAACTGCAGGTGCAGTCTGTTCAGACAAAATCATATCCCATTGAAAATGCTTATTCATCTGACAAAAATAGCAAGAAATATAAGAAACTTAGATTTTGTTCATAAGTAATTGTTTTGCAACAAATTCAGACATGTAAAAATGTATCTTAAAAAAAAAGTTATATTTTAGTTTCTACACCTGTGAGAGAGAATGGTGATATATATTTGTTTAAGTTGCATTTATAAATTCCAGCAAGGTCAAAAAATATAATGATAGAAAAATACTTAGAGAAATCTTTGTAAAAGTTAAAAGAAATGGAATAAAATTCTTACCTTGTAAAGAGGACAGCAGTGAATGAAGCAAGAATATACTCCATGGTATCATTAAACTGAGCTTTCCTACAATGTTCATTTCAGTATAAGTTAGGAATAGGGAATTTATCCAAATTAATGGTTTTGATTACATGACATCTTAGAACAATGTATTTCTACAGTGTGTTTAAATCCTTTAAAAATTAGTTAATTGGATGTATTATTTAAAACAATGTAATGCAAAAAAAGGAAAATAAAAGGAGACATCAAACTTGGTAGCTACATACAGCTTCAGGAGCTTTGTGAGTGTGGCATACAACTTCCTGGCTGCATGTCCCTCATTAGTAATGCATGGTAACTCCTCAGCAGAGTCTGTATTAGTTACACTTGCACCAGACCTGCAAGTATTACTCCTCTGTTGAATTGAATCGGCCCTTTATAACATAGCAGACAATGACACACAAATGTTGCCATGTCATGGTGGTTTGAGAGATCTTTCAGTCATCACACACCTTTGTGTGCTTTGAGGCTTGAGATGAGTGCTGCTCTTTACTGCTTAGTAAAGCAAAATATTTTTGCAAAACCCTGAAATGATACTACCATATAAAGTATAACCAGATGGTTTTAGAAATTAACATATTAACTTTTCTTATCTGTCCTCAAAGGGGAGAGGTGAACTTCTATTAAATAATACACTTGGATTTTTAAGAATATTTTAGATGTATTTCTGTGTATAGTTTGCTTATATCATAAAAGAAGGTTTCTCAGAGGATAATTATATTTAATTTTTAATAAAACATTATTAAAACTTTATATTAGCAAAAAGGAGAAAGAATTCAATACACCAATGGGTTTCATTTCTAATTTTCATTAAAATATAAAAATATAATTTAACCAAAATTAAAAATTATGTTTTAAAATTAAAGACTTTTACCTGCTTTATTATAATTTTAAATTTTAAAAATAAATACTGATTTACTGTAAACAGAATCATTAAAAAGAACAGTTTTAAAGATACATATAATGCTACTTGAAATTGCTACTGCTTATTTTATTTTGCAAAGCCTGTCTTTTGCCCAGCCCTCTGCTCTTCGTAGGACGTGCTTTGTGAGGCCCTCTGGAGGTGCGTTTGGACCCAAATAAAATTTAGAAGTTGATGACCTCTCTCAGGTAAAACATTCTCCATCATTTTTCTAGACTTTTCTATTTCCTGCTCCCCAGCTGGACAAGAACAGAATGCAAATGAAAACACTCAGCCTCTCCAATCACAGACAAGGACAAAACCCTGTATCCACATGGCAGCCAAGAGTACTTGTGCAAGTCTGGGACCACTGGTGGCACAAGGATACTTATTGCAAACTGTTGGATCTGAGAAGCTGACATTCCAATAATTGTGCTTCCAGAGGGTTTTTTGTTTTGTTTTTACTTTTAACTGGCTATGGCCTGGTCCCACGGATCGGCTGCTTGTGTGCAGCCAGACTGCATCTCCCAGCTTAGTTGTATCTGCTCCATGTGGTCCAAAACCACTCCAGACTGCAAACAGAAGCAAAAGAAGTGAGTTCCTAAGCCAAATTGACTCATTGATATAGTCACTCTTTAACTCTTATGTGGGAACTTAGAGGAAATATACTTTCACTGAAGGTTGCTCTCAAGATGAGATGAAATCAAGCATTAGATCTTCAAATTTCCATTACCAGCCTCCATATTATCTTACTTTCAAGTCTGGTTTCAAAACTGTTCCAAGCTCCTCTGAGAAATCCTATCTGGGATTCCTCCCTTCCTCAAGACTGTATTTCCCACCATGCTTCATATGTAATTTCACAAATAAATATTTCCATTAATATAATGTTAATAGAAATGAACTATTTTGGTTTAACAGAAACTATCCAAAACAGACTCTTTTTTTCAATTTTTCTATAGCAGAGTTGAGTGAATATTTGGTTAGTATTTCACATTTGCTTAAATTCTAATATTTAAAAAGTAGGCCAAGCCTCATCAGCTGCAAAGGAACTTTTTAAGAGTTAGAACAATAGGTTTCATTAGGTTTGGACATCTCTGCCCAAGGCAGGGTAGGAAAAAGCACAGTCCCAAGCGCATTAAGGATGTCAGCTAAGGAAAAAGAATTATTCAGCCAAGTACAATGAACTGTAACTCAGATGACTATAATAAGAAAGAGATGAAAAAAATTGAATCAAATTGTATCAAGGCAACAACACAGATTATCTACACAAGTATTAGAATCCTCACAGATTGACAATTCCGAAGAATCTGAACAGAAAAAAGGCATTAGAAAATAATCTCTTTTGGAAGGAAAGAAGCACAAGACAGAACACACTTGTCTGCACTTTAAAAATGCTAGTGTTACATCTTTAAGTTACAGATTTCTCTTTAAAAATAAAATTTAAACATTTCAGTATTTATATATTTGTATATTACAGACAAAATTAATTTTCTCCAAATTTTCCAACATGACATTTGAGAAGACTTAAATTTATATATAGGTCACACTGTTTATCAAGATTATAAACAGTGGGTGAAAAAATAACTGCCCTCCGTGCCATGGACATAAGCTTGCCCTGGTTTAGAACTGGATCCACTGCCATTAACAAAAGTTGGTATTTTCGATGAAGAATTCAATTGAGACCACATCTTATTGTGCACACCTGATCTTCCTAAGGATTAGCATTGGTGAAACTAATGAAAGAGCTGGATGATAGGAGGTCAGGAACATTTCTTTTTTTTCCCAGAGAAACACATCCACAGCTGC